ATCAAAGTATGAGGTCACCAATGACTTAAGCTGCCAAGTTGTGACAGATTGAACGTAGGGTTGAATGTTTGCCAACCACGACGTGCTGAAAAATTACCACCTTAACTTTCATGCGTAAAAATAATTAAAAGTTTGGTTTTTGATTTCATCAGACTTCGAACAACCTCTTTCGATTTGAAAAAGACTTAAATCAGATAGTGCTATCAAATATCTTTTATTTCGCGAGTCGTAGGAATGATCTAACAAGAATATGAAATTTCAGTGATAATTCAATTATCAATAACCACGACATACAATTTACAAGATTTAATTTAATTTTTTTGTTTTTTCTATCATTAATACAGTTGAAATTGTCATACGACTTTAAAGCAAAAGGGATCAAAGACGCAAGCTACGCTACACCCGCCAGCATGTATTTTTGCCAAACGTATATTTGTTTCTTCTTTTGACAATGATTCCATTTTTAATGATACAACTTCTATTAAAGTTGAATATTGTTCAAGAGCATGGGAATTGTTAGGAAACGACAAACACTAATATCACATTATATCTTCAAACGGAATTCATTCCTTCATTGGTTGATTGAACAACATATGGAAAAACAAGGGATATCAACTAAACAAATGTTTATAATCCTAACACGTCAATGTCAGTCAATTAGCTCTTAATTTAATTGTAATTTTAAATTATTTTTTTTATTTTTATGTTAGAGGACTTCGATTCTCTCTTATAGTTGGTAAAAGAAAATCACTATAAGATATGACTAATTATGTCGTACTATAATATGATTTATTTATTAACTTTGGATTCGTCTTAATTTGAATTCATGTTAAATCTTTACTTTATTTCGTTGCGTTTGAATTTGAAAGATTTTAGTGAGATTTTTGCTTGGATTCTCATTCAGAAGATTGTAGACAATGGAGATTATGATGATTGCGTTTACCAATTTATCTTTTTTACTCGTTACTTGACACATGTATTTCACTAATAAATTAAAATTAAATTACATAGTTTTTGATTTGTAGGTGGAAAACTAGAATTTATGATTGTTTCATTAATTATGTAGTTTAATTTGTTATTGAAATACATGTGTCAAGTGATGAGTGGGTAAGATAATAGAGAAAGGCAAAGTAAAAAAAAATAAGGAAAGCTAACCAAAAATGTTTGTAAACTTTGAGTTTTAATGATAAGGTCAAAATAAAAAGTAAATTGAATAATACCATGATCAACTTTTTAATCTAAAAATATAATTTTTCGTTAAAATAAACAGTATTTTAAATTTTTCATCGAAGTTTTCAAAAAAAAAAAAAAAAGGGTTGGTGCACATGGTTCAAAAAGTCTCCTATGGAGGAGGCCCACGTGTCATCTACTAAACGAAGTTTGTGATCCCAATCCGACGGTCCAATTGGCTTGCCATAATCAGGTGGAAAAGTTAAGGAGGCAGAGACGAAGAAACCAGATAAAATCATATTGACTGAATTCGTAGAGAGAGAGAGAGAGAGTTAAGAAGAAGAGGGAGGAGGAGGAGAGAGAGAGAAAGAGATGGCGCTAAAGGTACCGGCGCTTCCGTTCACGTTTGTGGTACACACGCTCGGAATCGCGGCTTTGGTTTTGGTGTTGGTTTGGAACATTCATTTCAGAGGCGGCTTGGCATGGGAAGCTACCAACAAGAACCTCATCTTCAACGTACGTCTCTCTCTCTCTCTCTCTCTCTCTCTCTCTCTCTCCATTTCTGGGTTTTCTTAGGTGTAGAAATAACTTCTTAGTTTGTATTGATTTTCTCTATTTGTGCCTTAATTTGACTCTAGAGTTATCCTGCTTCTTAAATCTCGATTGATATACCGTCTTTTGTAGCGTCAATAACAGTTCTCTAAATTTTGCGTTCATGTTCCTCAGAAACCATTTAGATAGTTATGGAAGATGAAGGATTTGTGCATGTCCTTAATTAGATAGCATATGACTTGGTTCTCTTCTTATCGATATGGAATTGGATACCCTTCTTTTTTTCCTTTTGTTTCTTTTTCTATTCCTCACAAGCGGTATTGGCGCTGCTCGCCGAGAATTTTAAGCAATTGAATACCACCCCCACCTTCTTTGACTGCTTTTTCTTTCTTTTTTTATTTTTTGAGAAACGGCAAGAGACCGTGAAGAAATTTCTAGATGGGATGGAAACAAAATAGTACATCATGTTTTTAAATTATTAATCTTTTAACATACATAATCCGTCATTTATATAGAAACATATGATGTATCACATCGTGTGTGATGTAAAAAATTTCTCATCTCTAAGATTGTATATGCATTCTCAGTTTTCTCATGTTTTTAATATAATATTTTATAATATTGATTCGAGAATGAGATGGTACTGAATTAATAAAGAATCTCATTTTAAAGAAGTTTCTTTAACATTTCTTTTATATTTTTCATTGGTTAAAGTTGGGGGTTAAAAAACACTACGGAGAAGAGTTTAGTGAAATGCTAATTAAGTTTAGTGGCACTGTAGGACATGATTAAAGCGCAACTCTTTCTTCTTGTCGGTCCTAATGTCGATTGTAGAAACAGCTATAAGCACCTTGCACAGGTTCACCTACCATTCTTACCAAAAATATGTTATGCATGCACTCGACACAGTGCTACTTTTCCAATATGATTATCTTTTTGGAGCGTCAATAATAGTTCTTGCTTATATGTAATCAATTACGATATGAGTTACATCAACAACAGTCTTATCTTATTAAATAAGATTAGTTATATAAATTCTTTATGTCTTTTTTCAAAATCTTCCGTTAACTTCAAGTACTTCAAGTCTTTTTTAAGATATTTTTCCAAATTCTTCTAGGCATTTCTTTGTCTCTTTACCTTAAGCATTTGTCTCAAAACCACAATACGAATTATTTTTGAAATTTGATGAGAAACCTATTTAACTTTGGGGTTTTTAGGGTAAATCACGAGAACACGTATATGGCACCTAGCTTCCATAAAATGGTTGGCACTTGGAATTAATGGTGTAGAAATTAACAAATATCGTGTGGGGAGTGTGGACATTCACATGCTTATCAAATTTGGTGTGATATATAGAGCTCAAATAATTCACGTGTCTATCTGCTTCTGGAAATATCTAAATCTTCATATCATTGGTACACGTAATTACGTATGTAACCTTTGTTTCCCCCAATCTTGGATTTATCCACAGCTTTCGACACTGCACACTCTTGTCTTTTTCTATTTCAATTTTATTGTGCATATAGAATTCAAATCTTATATTAAAATTAGTTAGGTGAGGTGTGAAGGGTAGTGTTATTCACCTACTTTTTACTTTAGATATTATATAAATATATATATATATATATATATATTTTAATTCATTCGATTTAATTGTTAAAAATTAAAAAGCGTTGTGTCGCTGATGCCACCCATAAAGAATTTTGAAATAATTCATGTGAATTGCCTCTACGACTGTCGTTTTCTTCTATACAATTATTTATTTCGGAAAAAAATAAGCAATTGTTAAATTTTTTTTTTTTTTTTGGTATGGATTTCTTCATTGGATATTCGCAGGACAAAACTATAAATTTAGGATTTGGTGGGTCCGTTGGGTTTGTGTGGCCGTGATCGATGGAAAAACAGTCTGAATTATGGAATAACCAACGGCCCAATACTTTGCCGAAAGAAAGAAAAAATTGAATGGACCAAAGCCCCAATTTTTTTTTTGTTGGGTATTCGTGATGGAGAAATAATATTTTCTTGTTTTTTCTGGTGCAGCTCCATCCTGTTCTCATGTTACTTGGCCTAATTTTCTTGGGAGGAGAAGGTAATAAAATACTAGTTTGTGAATTTTTTTTGCAAAATATGTTCGCAGCTTGACGATAGATCTTGCTGTAAATTTTACGTACTGAGTTTTTCACTTGGTCTGACTGTCGAACCTTGATCCGTAAAACCAAAAATTGCAGCCATTATTAGTTACAAAGCACTGCCTTTCAGGAAAGAGGTGAAGAAAGTGATACACTTGGTTCTTCATGCCCTCGCGTTAGGTCTTGGGATCATTGGTATTTATCTTGCATTCAAGAACCATAACGAGAGTGGAATTGCCAATCTGTACAGTTTGCACTCTTGGATTGGAATCGGGGTCATTTGTCTCTATGGAATTCAGGTACGTAATCCCTAACCCCAACTACGAGGCTCACCTTCAAAAATTGTCCACGCTCGTGTGAGTGGTTTTAGTCGTTAATGCAAGGACGTGAATCCTAATAAACAGTTCACATGCATTAACAACTGATAGTTACTTGCATGTGCAAATGGTTAGGCTTAGAATTAAGTTTTTATTCTCTCCTCCTAATCATCTAAAACTGGACATTTTGATCCGAATGTGCAGTGGATATATGGGTTCGTGACCTTCTTCTACCCCGGAGGAAGTCCTGCACTGAGAAGTGAGTCTATCCCATGGCATGTGGCGTTTGGAATCACCGTGTACTTACTAGCTGTTGGCAATGCTTCATTAGGGTTCTTAGAGAAGCTCACATTCCTCGAGAACTCGGGAATCGATAAATTTGGGACGGAGGCCTTTCTCGTCAACTTCACCGCAATCATCACTGTACTGTTCGGAGTCTTCGTTATACTCTCAGTACTTTCTGAAGCTCCTCCTTCTGTAGAAGATGACAACAGCTATTCTGCTATTTGATGATACAAGGACTTGAGCAAGTGCATGGCAGCATGGGGCTTTAATCATTTTACGTGTGTCTATTTATCTAGACATGATATGACTTGCGACCACTTTTTTTATCCTTAATTATTGGCATGCCCCCTCTATTTATTTATTTTTATTAATTAAGAAGAGGTTGGTGGTGTAATTTATGTGGATATAATTACAAGATTTCGAGCAATCTTAAAATTCAAGTTGTATTTTATTACTTGACCATGAGCATAATAATACCATAATTATGTATTTTAATTTGTTGGGTGGATTATGGAAGACCAACGATTTTATATATATATATATATGGTGGCAAGGTAGCTCACCATTCTCACAATCAAGCAACAAAAGAGCAACTTACATTGATCAAGTGTTTAGGGAAGAGTATAAAATCTTATTAACCACTTGGATTCATCAAACTGGAGTCCGGATGGCTCAAGGTATTTCTTTTGCTTTCTTAAATTTAGTTTTCAAGATCATTTTTTACTCTTGAAAACAAATTTAGTCAGGAAGGACGGCATTAGATATGACACACAAATTGTTAATATATTTCAACACTGAAAGATGGATAATAGAGAGACTTTGGATGCGGTCCCTAGCCACTACTATTATATGGTTGAAACGTTATTGGTTTTCAATTTTATACCAAAGTCTCTAACATTAATACATTTATGTATAACCGTATCGGTTATAGTGTATTGGACATATTAATCTGTCACACATTTAATTGTTTAAAATTTTCTTCTTCTGCAGAGCTTTTACAAAAGAAGAAGGAAGATACTCTATCCTTCATAAAAACATGGGAGGAGAAACAAAAAACCAAAGTTGATAACAAGTACTAGCTCTCTGCTTATTCATTTCTCATCTGATTAATCTGGATTAAGTCAAACTATATACTTATATAAGATGATTGTACAATTATTTGAGATAGTACATAATTAAGTTGCTGAATTACTAAATAAACTATTGGTGATGAATAGAGCTAACAAAAGGCTGGCCATCAATGAGGAGAGAAAGAACGCAGATCAAATAGACCTGGAGGCCGAAGAGAAGAAGATTGAGGTAGTTTTTGTATTTATTTAGTTCGATCCCGTTCGAAAGTGATTCTAGGAGGGCCGGAATTAACCACTTGAAAAGTGTTTTTCATATACCTAGTTAACAAAACACCTTCAAACGACCGCTTAGATATTTTCTTTTCTTAATTTATCATTAATCGTCGTTAATTATGAGCTTGTGCATGCATGATGGAGCAGACAAAAGTTGAGAAGCATAGACACAGGGAACTGGAAAAGCTGAAGAACAAAGAAGCTCACTCCGCGAAGATCATAGAAGACAGTAAGGTCAGAATTGAAGCAAAACGCAACAAAGGACATCTCAGTGTTGAAAAGAAGGCTGACAAATTTCGTAACGCCAATACTTTGCCAACCAAGTGCTTTGGCATGTGCGTGGACGAATAAAGATTTCGCGTTTTCTCTTTCTCTACATGCATGTTTATTTCTGTTAGTTAATTAGCAGTTCAAAAATTATAAATAAATTGAGGCATACGGGGATTTACCTCACTTGAGAAGTTGAGTGTGGGATTATACAAATAATTGTACTATTTTAAATATAAATAACATTAATTTGTTTTTAATCTATGTAATCGGTTTTCCATAAACTAATAGAACCAATGAAATTAAGCTACGTAAGCATTCAGAGGGACAGCACACGACTACGACATGTAGTCTTCGAATGTACAGCTTCGGACTCCAGAACAGACTACAGAGATGGACAATTTTATTTCTAGTGGAACAAGTGTTTGTTTCTGATGGCAACATGTCAATACGTCAACACAAGGGTGTGGCAGTTGGTGCCTTAACGTTTTCCAACTACCAATAAGGATTGAGATTCGCTCTGAATCTTTGTGGTTTGAGTCTGCAAATTGAGAAATTTGAACCACTAAATTTCAATCATACAGCACCTCATTCCCATTTCATTAGTCCACCTCACAAAAACTCAAAAACCCAAACAAATTGAATCTCTTTCTCTCTTTCTTTTGAACGGTCCGAATCTCTTGACCCACGTGCTCCAAACATAGAGATATAGAGTGAATCTCATTCCTGCCAACAAGACTTTGCTTTCTTGCTTGCCGAGTTGTGTTTGGAACTCAAAAAATTTTGTGGCAAAAAAAAAGGGTATTAAGCTTATAATTTGGCCTATTTACTGCCTTGATGGATAAGCTCAACTCATTTTCTAAAGGCAAATCAAACAATTGATGATTATAGTGCATAATTGACTTATGACTGTCACAATAATATCTAGTTGCATAAATGTTGGTCTCGATTTCTTAGGGTTAAATAGTTGTTTATCAATAGTTGTCAATACAACTTTAGGGATTCGCCCTAGGCCAACCTCTGTGGTCCCTTGGCCTTTGCCGTAACTTACAAGTTAAAAGTAAACTACGAACCACCCAAGGCAAAGCCATTTGTAGTAGTTTGATTTGTCACGAGTTGTCAAGGTCCTTATGCAAATATGGAAACTCATCATTATATTGAATTGTCGAATTCAAACGAAAAGGTATTTACTCATAAAAATAGTTACAAATTGTTACACTATTCCTTATTTACTCATCTAACTTAATTTATTTTAACATTGTTGGAATCCCAACTGTCCCACATCGAACGGAGGGAATGAGAACAAGCAATTTATATAGACCATTCTAACTAACACCGAGACCTTTTGAATTAAAACTCCACATCTGACAGATTGAGCAGGTGGTAAAGTGAGGACAATATCAGTGTTGTTGGAGTGGGCCTTTGGCCTAACTACATGAAATTTAACATGGTATCAAAACCAGGGGACGGACCCGTATTGCCATGTGAACGGGTGGGTCCCCATTGGCCCTGCACGAACGGGTGAGCCCCGACTTGACTCCATGTAGGCCAAGAGATGTCACGTGAATGGGTGGGTCCCCAATAGCCCTGTGCGAACGGGTGAGCCCTAACTTGGCTCCATGTGATTGCTGATGTGTGGAACTCCACGTGTGACCCATAAAATGGGGTCTCACGTGCAGAAGGAATGAGAACAAGCAGGTGGTAAAGTAGAGACAATATTGTGGAGCCAAAAATATTCACAAGGCGACACGTGGATTTTTGGACAAAAGAGGACAAAAATACCCTTGAGGCATAACGGGATTCCTACACGCAAGCAGCGGGCAATCATCCCTCAACAAAGTCGAAAGTGCCCAAAATAGGTAACAATTCAAAACCTATTTCATTTCATATACTTTTTACCTCTCTTTCCCTCTTTTAGCTAATCAATTAGCTATCATTCTATAACCTACAAAATATCCCACATAAATTAAATTAATTGGCTAATTAATGAGATTATTACTTAATTAATCCACTAATTGTCAATTAAACTATCCATTATCACCAAAAAATACACTAAAGGCCGGTTACCCTCTCTCCCAAGGGAACCGGGCATTTCCTTCATTTTTCCACCATATCTTTGCTTTTTTTGTGACATTATTAGTTGATCAATTAAGCCATTATTTTAATTGATTAGCTAATTATACCATAAAATTCCAAAAACATTCCTTTTATTATGTTAATTAGCCAATTAATATATTTATTCCTAATCAATATATTTATTGCTAATTAAATCACCAAATAACACCCAAAATATACATAAAGGGCCAGCCACTCTTTCTCTAGAGAGGACCGGCCATGCCCTATATATTGGCTCCCATTCTTACCAAAAAACCGAGTTTTCAACACTCTTACTAAAATTCTCCAAAACTCTCAAACATTTTTCTCTCTAAATTCTAACTTTGACATCAGAGATTCTTCGGCCAAAGCCCCCCCATTCATCGTGGGCGCGTGAGACTCTTGGCCTTGACCTAAGATGTTATTTGTTTTGTAGGTGCAATTTTATCCAAGATCAAAGAGGAAGAAATTTACATCCACAAATATTGATGTCGTTGAAGTGAGCCATCAACCCGTCTACCTGAAATTTGACAAACATCATACATTATTGGATGAATTTTGTTTCCATTTTTGGACAAAGATCATAATCATTCAATTCCTTCTAGACCTAAATGACGATTAAATTAAGTTAAATTAAAATTATTTAGGAGTCACTTAACTTATATAAAACGTGTACAATTCTTGTAGACGTGAAGTACAATAATCATGTGCACGCAATGTTCTAAGCAACAATGTGATTTGGATTTTTGACAGTAAAACACACTACGTACCTTTTTACTCCGGCAAAAGTATAACAATGCTTAGGAAAAGCCAAACACCAACAATAGCTTTCTCCTTGATATTAACATCCATTTTGTTTTATTGTTTTCACAAGTTAATCTATTTCTCCATCGCGTTGATTAAACTTGTCAAATTATTAAGTTTTCTATTCATGTGATAATCACATCGGCACTTAGTGTTACTAATTTAGAATAAGTATGAAGAGAAATGAAATCATTCAAAATCTTGATTTCTTTGTGCTTACGAACACCAAATCAATCAAAATTAAGAATGAGATCAGCTAAGAAAGTAGTTAATTCAACTTACATTATTCAATTTCTATTTTCCTAACTTTTCAAATTCTCTTGTATATGAACGAAATGAAGAAATGACTATTGCTTTGTTATCTTACTAAAAAAATACATGCCAACTCATAAAAGCCGCTTGTACCTATCATCCAGCTAAGCTTGTATGAGCTAATATGAGCTAATGTGCTTTGAAATATCAGTTACCTTACTCCAACTACACAACCTATAGAATCCCAACCCTCTCTCTCTCTCTCTCTCTCTCTCTCTCTCTCTCTCTCTCCGTTGCTTCTATAATCTTCTCACTCTAAAGACTACAGTGAACTTCCCTTTGAAAACTTTGAGGTTTTTTCCACTTTCAAACCAACTTTAGCAATCAACATGGCAGAGGCGGAGGAACCCAAGAAGCTAGAATCCGAGTCACCCTCGGATCCTCCACACGCTCCGACTACGGCTCCGGCGGAGAAAGAGAACCCGCTTGTGGAAGCTCCAAAAGACCCTGTGTCCCACAAGGACAAATCTGAAATTCCACCACCTCCTCCTCCTCCTGAAAGCAAGGCTGAGCCTGATGAGTCCAAGGCCCTTGCTATTGTTGTTGACAGTATATTTCTCTCTCCTCTCTCTCTCTCTCTCTGAATCTTTTCCACTTTATTATGTTTTCTTGTTGTTTTGTTAAAGTTGATAACTTTATCTGTTTGGTAGGTGAGAAAAAGAAAATTTCAGACTATCCATTCTTTTTCCACCAAAAAGGAATTAATATGAGTTGGGATTGCTATATGCATGCTAGTGATCATGTGTCTGTTTGTAGTTTTTAGAATCTATTTGTCTTTTTTTTTTTCTTTTCCTTTTAATGTAATTTTCCCATGGTTGCTGACTAATTATTATTGGTTTGATTCTGCCCTGCTTCTAGTCTTGCTTTGGTTTCTCTTATTGTTCCGAATTTCTTTCTCTTGTCCCATTATTTTTCCCTGTATTTTTATTGTAAATATCTTTTCTTTTCTATGAAATTCTCTTTGAAAATCTTTTTTTTTTGTCAACTAGGGTCAGAATTATATTTCATATTCAGGAGTTTCATTAGATTCCAACATCTAATTGCTATGTGTTAGTTTGTCGTCGATATTTAATTTTGATTAGTTAAGCAATTGAAATTTGATTTATGATCATTTTAACGAATTGCTTTTGATTATTTCAACTGCTGTTCTGGGACTCTTGCTTCCTTATCTCATTAATTTAGCTACAGACTCACAAAATTTCCTTCTAAAATAAAAACGAAATGTTCATCAAAAGGTATGATAAAAATCTCAACTTAAGAAAGCTCCATACTTACTTGTTATGTTCTATCCTTTGCATGTCATGTTTTGAAAGTTGCATTTTCCTTCTTCTCCCACAGAGCCTTCGGAACCTATTGCCGAAGAGAAAAGTAAGGAGGGTTCCGTCAATCGCGGTGAGTGTTTAGGGTTTGATCATGAGGTCCGTTGATTCCTGCTTGTTTGAACGCATTATAATCAACTAGGTTAAACTTATTCTCCTATCATCGTTTTCTTGTTCAGATGCTGTGCTAGCAAAAGTTGCAACAGAGAAAAGGCTGTCACTTATCAGAGCATGGGAAGAAAGTGAGAAATCAAAGGCAGCGAATAAGTAAGAGCTTTCTTCAGTATTGAGCCTAATTGAGTAATCATGGTGTTTGATATGTTTCTTGACAAGACGACATTCTACTCTAAACTACTATTATTTATGGGGAAGGGCAATTGGGGGTGGGGGCAATGGGGGAGAAATTTTTCCTTCTGAACAGAACACAGGTGGTATACCACGTGTTTTTATACAAGTGGTGAAAAATTGTATTTTTCAAGTTATTAACTTTTTAACAGACATATTCCATTATTTCTTTTTATACAAGTGGTGGAAAATTGTATTTTTTAAGTTATCAACTTTTTAATACACATATCCCATTATTTATACCAGTCACACTGAAAAATTTCTCGCAATAGGGTAGGCACACCACCCTTGTAACCTAACCGACACCTGCATGGTGTTTCATACGTTGAATATTCAATAAAGAAACAAGTTTTTTTTATTTTTATATCGTTTGATATACTGAACTGAAAGCGTATGTGCTGGCTAACAGAGCTCAGAAGAAACTATCTGCCATCGGTTCATGGGAAAACACCAGGAAGGCAATTGTGGAGGCTGAGCTGAAAAAGATTGAGGTAACAATTTATGCGCATTTCTTTGTATGATCTGCTTGGATTCCTAGACGCAAAGGTCTTGTCTTTTACTCTCTGTTTGTGTCCTGTTCCAACATTTTAACTTTGTGCATGAGCAGGAAAAATTGGAGAAGCAAAAGGCCGAGTACGTGGAACAGATGAAGAACAAGATTGCTTTAATCCACAAGGCTGCAGAAGAAAAGAGGGCGGTGGTTGAAGCTAAGTGCGGGGAAGATCTTCTCAAGGCGGAGGAAACTGCTGCAAAGTACCGTGCCAAAGGGAAAACTCCTAAGAAGCTCCTCGGTTGCTTTTCAAGCTAAACTTAATATTAAGGTCCGATGGATTATTTGGTTGGTTTGGAGTACATTTGTTTTTTTAGATGTGTTTGTTTCTTCTTCACATAATGGGGTCATTGTTACTTATTGTGTGTGTTTGCGTTTGTAAAAACTTCTGTTTCCTTATTTTTTTGGTTTAAAGAACAACTTGTGCAGGAGAAAACCAAAAAGGAGTGAGCAATTTTGTGTTTCTACATATCTGCTCAATGATAGAAAAAGCCTAGCCTATACAAACGATGCGAGGATGGTAGTATAATAGTATCACAAGCCTATCATGCACTGTCATGTGTTTTAATTTTTCAATACGAAATTGCATAATTGGTTTGAGATACTGTCACATTGATATCTCAATTGCAGTATGTTATCTCAGTTGGTGTTTTCTAATAATAAAGGTGATTGATAAGTGTTGGTAAGTGTAATCATGATGAGGCATTCTGCAAAATTTGGTTGTTAATATTTCATAAATTTGAGAATCATGAATGTTCAAATGTGGAATCTTGATGACAATTATTGTTCATGTGATACGCATGCATGTAACTTCAAATTTCTTCTTTTCCATTGGAAAAGGAAGTGGAGAAACGAAAAGAATATTTCCGTAGCTTCCAATTCCATGACCCCCAAGGAATAACTTGATGTCCAAGTTATTTCTTTCCATTGCCTTCCCCTCTCATCCCTCTATAAGTAAAATACCCTAACTTCCTTCCCCTACTAGCTAGATATGGTAAAGCTAACAATTGTTGGAAGGGTAAGTGATGGACTTTGTCTTGCCAAAGGACCGTCTTATATGAACGAAGAGCGTGAAAACTCTTCGTTTTACAAGCAACAAGGAGAGTTCATATTCAAAGAAATCTCCCGAGGAGCCTTGCCTCCTTCCAGGATGACCATTCGTGTCGATCATCACTACTTCAAGTATCCTTCTTCTTCTTCTCTGTTTTTCAATTTTTTTTCTTTTTCCTTTTTTGAATAGACTTCATCACCATCAGGTGTTTTTTTCACTTAATCTTTGCTAAAATGTAGTTACTTGGTGGAGAAGGGAATTGCATTCATCGCATTGTGCGAATCTTCGTATCCAAGAAAACTAGCTTTCCATTACCTTCAAGATTTGCAGAAGGAATTTGAAAAGTTCGACAGTAACCTCATTAACAAAATCACAAGACCATACTCCTTTGTCAAATTCGGTAATTCTCATCACCTCGTCATAGAATTCGATATCAACCAATCTCTAATAACTAGAAGGCAGAACAAATTATAAGTTCGTCATTAATCCCACCCCAAATAAGTTCTGTCACAGATGGTGTCATTGGGAAAATTAGAAAACAATACATTGATACAAGAACACAGGTTAATCTGTCGAAGCTTAATGCTAACCGGAAACAAGATTTAGACATTGCTACTGAAAATCTTTCAGAAATCATAGAGAGACGGAGGCATTCAGGTAAAATTACGCTTCATATTTATCGCTGCATTCATTGTTAAGGTGTCATGGACAAATCATTTGCTCCCCTCTTTTGTTCCAAATTCTTGAATTTACAGATCTATTGGAAAGACCATTGCTTCCTCCTGCTCCTCAAGCTGTTTCATCTATTTGGTGTTCACCGCTCCTCGAGGTACATTTACTCGAAACTCATACTTAATGGAAAGATTATGTTCTAAACGAATTAATTTCTTTGCATCATTGATCCAATGTTAATTTTTCTGAGCAGGTTATTGCGTTGAAATGGACACCTATTACCTTGATAATTGCTGTTGCCACTGTTGTTCTTTGGGTCTCCATAATCCATGCAGACAACAATTTCATGATTCTAAACTAATTGGGGTTACCAGGAACGGATTAAGAAATTTCTAATTCATCTCGTTGAGTTGCACCGACTTGTTATTCGATCTCGTTCATGAAGGTTATGGTTTTTTTTTTTTTTGTTGCCAAGATACACCAGTTTAGAAAGAAGAAAATAATCAAATTCTGTTCATGTTCAATTAATTCCATATGTTGAATCAGATAATCAAATTATGTAAATCCAAATGCAATTCTTTCACTGTATTTCCTTGGAAATAGATGTTCTCCGGACATTCACAAAGCAGGAAGTGTTAGAAAGTCAATGTAATTAGATAGGAAGGAATTATATGACTGATTTGTATTTGATACTTTGATGTATTCCTAGATTGTAGGTCTTCTTATTGTACAAGGAAAGCTATTGTATATATTCAGTATTCTGTTAATGAAAGAATTATTCTGGCCAAATACATTTTTTCTCATGGTATCAGAACAGGTTTCAAACGCTAGCTCTCTCTGCTGTAACCAGAAGCATCAGACCTCCTCTTTTCCGTTGTCTTCCTTCTCCATGGGTGACAACGACAACACCATTATCAAGAAGGGCGATGGCGAGAATTTTGCCGACCCTTATTTTCTTCACCCTTCAGACCATACTGGTTTCACTCTAGTCTCAAAAAAATTGAATGGGGACAACTACAACACTTGCTGCCGGGCTATGGAAATCTCCTTGAGTGCCAAGAACAAAATTGGTTTTATTAACAGCAAAGTGAAAATGTCGTCTGAAACAAAGCAACCCGATGAACACGCTGCATGGCAGAGATGCAATAACATGCTTCTTGCGTGGATCATCAACTCCATTGAATCTGACATTTTGGACTCGATTCTTTACTTGAAGACAGCCTATGAAGTTTGGGAAGATCTTCGGGAATGATTTTCTCAGAGCAATGCTCCACGAATTTTTCAGCTTCAAAGAGAGATTGCCTCTCTCAACCAAGGACAACAATCCGTGGCTGCTTATTACACCAAATTGAATGGGCTTTGGGATGAGTTGGCATCTTATAGTTCTTCAACAACCTGCACTTATGGAGCACAAAACGAAGTCAACAGACTTATGCAATTCCTCATGGGATTGAATGAGTCTTATAGTGCTCTTCGTGGACAAATCTTGTTGATGAATCCACTCCCTTCTGTCCGACAAGCGTGTTCCTCAATCATTCAAGAAGAAAAACAGCGAGAGTTGGGCACTACTCGCAACCTGACTGAACCAGCAGCCATGGCAGTTCGCCATCGTAATAGCAACAAGTAACAACAACACTCATCGCAGAGTAGCAGCAATAGTCGACCTCCTCTTCATTGCTCTTACTGCTATGCAGAGTATCACACAGTCGAGACTTGCTGGCAGAAAAATGGTTACCCACCGGATCATCCTCGTCACAATCCTAACAAGATAAGCAACTCCAAACAAAGTAGTGGTGGTAGCAGCTTCTCTCGTGGAGGTCCTTCTGCCAACCACGTTACTTCTACGCCCACCATCAAGGATCTTCAAGCTGCTGTGCCCAACCTGTCCGAAAAACAATATGAAGACATCTTTTTATTATTGAATTCCAAGAATGATGGCCCACCAGCTAAGAATGATGGACCTCAAGCGCATGCTGCCGCTTTCACCTCTCAACCATCAGGTTTGTCACCGCTTATTCCCGGTCGATGGATAATCGACAGCGGAGCAACGGATCACATCACTCGCTCACCTAGTTTATTGACAAACTCCATTAAAAATATTTCTTTGCCGCATGTCTCACTGCCTAGCGGAGAGAAGGCTTCTATTACTCCGATTGGCAATATTCAATTAAGTGATTTACTACAATTGAAAGATGTTCTATGCGTGGCTTCTTTCCAAGTTGATTTGTTATCTGTTGGAAAAGTTAAAGATGGGTTACATTGTTCAGTGACTTTTTTCCCTCTTGGTGCATTTTACAGGACCTGATTTCGAAGGTGACGATTGGTGTTGGTAAGCGACGGGGCAATCTATATTACCTTGTGGCGTTGGCTTCCACTTTCACTCTGCAAAACCAACCCTCATGCCACCACATCACTGTTTCCGCTGATCTTTGGCACCGCCGTCTAGGGCACCCTTCTCTTGGGCGTTTGCAATATTTAGCAAATAAAACCTTAACTTTCCCTTTTGATTTGAGTCATAGTTGCCATGTTTGTCCGTTGGCGAAACAAACTCGCCAACCTTTTAGTCGTAGCTCTATTTCAACTGCTATGTGTTTTGAACTTTTGCATTGTGACATTTGGGGTCCTCATAAGATTGCCTCCCTTAGTGGTGCTCACTATTTCTTAACTATTGTTGATGATTTTTCTCGTTTCACATGGGTTTTCTTAATGTGGCATAAACACGAAACACAAACTGCCCTTAAAACCTTCTTTGCTTATGTTGAAACTCAATTTCACACCAAAATTCAACAAATTAGAGTAGATAATGGGGGTGAATTTTATTCCATGCGGGATTTCTTCTCTGAAAATGGGATCATTTATCAACACTCTTGTGTTTACACACCACAACAAAATGGTGTTGTAGAACGAAAGCATCGCCACCTACTACAAACTGCCCGAGCTTTGCGTTTTCAGTCTCATTTGCCGATTAAGTTTTGGGGGGAGTGTGTTCTCACCGCTGCCTATCTTATCAACCGTCTCCCTACACCATTACTTTAAAAAAAATCACCATTTGAGATACTATACCACAAGCCACCCTCTTATTCCCATATGCGTGTATTCGGTTGTCTTATTCCCGGGCTCATCGATGCATTTTTCTTGGTTATCCCCGTGATCAAAAAGCTTATAAACTCTATGATCTTGAGACACACAAGATTTTCACCAATAGGGATGTTATTTTCCTTGAAGACATTTTTTCTTTTGAACCATCCACCATCGCTGCAACCTCTCCCAACTTACCCGATTTAACTCACTCAACACCTTTACCCTTTCCATTTGTCACCACCCCTGATATCCCACCATCTCATTCCACCTTACTACCCAATCATGTACCCCTCACTTCATCTCATCCCACCCCCCTTTCTCCTACTACGTCACCTTCCACATCCCTTTCAGCACCTACAGACCCATCCCCACCACCTTCACCATCCGCCCCCCTCACGGAACCCCTACCTGCCCCTTCACTTGCTGCTCAACCAACCCGTTTTTCCACACGCCATAAAGAGCCCAATGTCCGTTTCTGGGACTACGTTTGCTCACAGGTGATACTGCCCCCACTCCAATCTTCGTCGCCTTCGTCATCCGGTTCCACCAGAGGTACTCGTGATCCCATTTGTAATTCTATTTCCTATCACAGATATTCACCATTGCATCTTTCTTTTGTTGCTCACATTAGTTGAAGTGTAGAACCTTCCTCTTTTGCAGAGGCTCTTCAAGACCCTAATTGGCGCCAAGCCATGGATTCAGAACTTGACGCACTTTCTTCCAACAATACCTGGACTCTTACTCCGCTTCCTCCCAGCAAACATCCAATTGATTGTAAGTGGGTCTACAAAATCAAGCATAATGCTGATGGTTCTATCAAGCGTTACAAAGCTCGTTTAGTAGCCAAAGGATTCACCCAAGCAGAAGGAATTGATTATCATGACACTTTCTCTCCCACTGTCAAAATGATCATTGTCCGCTGCCTTCTTGCCCTTGCCGCTAGCCAAGGATGGTCCCTCCAACAATTCGATGTTCATAATGCATTTCTTCATGGCGATCTTCAGGAAGAGATTTACATGTCTCCTCCTCTTGGTCTTCGGCGACAGGGGTAGAACCTTGTATGTCGCCTCAACAAGTTCTTATATGGCCTCAAGCAAGCCTTTCGACAATGGTTTGTAAAATTCACAGAAGCTATACTTGCCGCTGGCTTTACTCAGTCCAAAGCGGATTATTCACTCTTCACTCAAAAGAACGGTACATCCTTCACAGCTTTGTTGATTTATGTTGATGATATTATTATTACAGGCAACAATTTGGAGGCCATTAATGCCCTCAAAAGGTTTCTTCATACCCGTTTTTGTATTAAGGACCTTGGCAATTTGAAATATTTTTTGGGTATTGAAGTTTCTCGTTCAAAAAAAGGATTGTATATTTCACAAAGAAAGTATGCCCTTGAAATAATCAAGGATTGTGGTCTTTTGGGTGCCAAACCTATGGGATTTCCAATGGAGGACAACAAAATTTCGGATAAAGGCGAACTACTCAAAGACGCATCTCTGTATCGAAGATTGGTTGGACGCTTGATCTATCTTACCATTACTAGACCAGACGTCACATACTCCGTGCATGTGCTCAGCCGTTTTATTCATCAACCACGTCAGCCACATATGGATGCAGCACTTCGAATTGTGCGATATTTGAAGTCCACACCAGGTCAGGGCTTATATTTTCAGTCAGATAATAAGTTAACTTTGAGAGCTTTTTGTGATTCGGATTGGGCCGGTTGTCAGATAACTCGTCGCTCTACAACTGGGTATTGTATATTCTTGGGGAATTCGTTGATTTCATGGAGGACTAAGAGGCAGAAAACAGTTTCGCTCTCTAGTGCTGAAGCCGAATATAGGGCAATGGCTGGGACATGTTGCGAGCTCATTTGGTTACGGTATTTGTTAACAGATTTGCATGTACCCATTTCAGGGCCTGCCATTATGTCTTGTGATAATCAGGCAGCACTGTACATTGCTGCCAATCCTGTCTTTCATGAGAGAACACGTCATATAGAGATGGATTGTCATTTCATTCAGGACAAGATTTTAGACGGTTCTATAGCTACTTGATATGCCAGTTTTTCTCAACAACTGGCGGACATATTTACAAAGGCCTTAGGCAAGGAAAAATTCTCATCCATGTTATGCAAGTTGGGAGTTCTTGACATTCACTCTCCAACTTGAGGGGGAGTGTTAGAAAGTCAATGTAATTAGATAGGAAGGAATTATATGATTGATTTGTATTTGATACTTTCCTTTGATGTATTCCTAGATTGTAGATCTTCTTATTGTACAAGGAAAGCTATTGTATATATTCAGTATTCTGTTAATGAAAGAATTATTCTGGCCAAATACATTTTTTCTCAGGAAGCCTACTTGGTTTGGGGTCGCCCATTTTTATTTATAAAAATACATTGCATCATTCTGCAAGTTGAAATCACGACACAAATCTACAAAATCAGCAAACCCTGGTCCTGAAATCTGTTCCTCAAACTTATACTGCGAATTGATCATTTCCGAACCCGAACCATGATGATGGCTTATCCCATGATGAAAACCACTGCCAAATGTTCCCTCATTGTTCAACTCAAAACCATGTCCTAGATCATGATCTGCTTGCAGGTTATTTGAAGTAGTACTATGGTCAAATCCTTCCCTCGAAACCCCGGTATCACTGATGTTGTTTGCAAAGCTCCCGCCATGAACATGGTCCAAGGAGAGCCACTCAGCAAACATAATCTTTGGTAAAGGGCTTAAATGACAGCTCTGATCTTTGGACAAGTCATCGAATGGCGGCGATTTTTGCACTGATTCATAACTGGGATTGATGCCGGTTGTTGACTTTTGGGGAGATGGGGAACACTCCAAGATTTCTGAGCTTGAAGTGCTTGTGTACTGGGATTTTCTTTGACCTTCCATTGTTTCTTCAGCTTTGGCCACTTTCTTCTTCAAATAAGAATGCCAATAGTTTTTTATCTCATTGTCTGTCCTTCCTGGCAAATGCTGTGCAATTTGAGACCACCTGAGGTCATTGAAAAAACGAAGTTAATGGAGTTATTTGCCTTAATCAGTGATATTATAAGAAGAGTGCACGGTTAATATCTGAGACGAGCAGTGTGTTATGATTTCAGAAAGACAGAACAACATTTCACTATTAATTAACACCGTTTATCCCCAACTTAGGCTTAACCACTTAAAGCACAACACGCGTAAAATTTTATCACAAACAATCTTGGAACAACTAGTAATTTAGTATAGTAGAACCATTTATTATATATTAAACTTGTTCTCTTACTTGTTGCCTAACATGTGATGAAGGGTCAGGATTGTCTCCTCCTCTTGTTTGCTAAATGTCCCTCTCTTTAACCCTGGCCTTAGGTAATTTATCCACCTTAATCTGCAGCTTTTTCCATTCCTCTGCAAGTCTGCATTTAACATATTGTAATTTATAAATACAGTTAGTCAAAATGAGGAATATGCTTAAGCCTATCGTAAAGAAAAGTCACCATCGATCTCTTTTACTAATAGAATAACATTAGTAAAAAAATTAATAATATATCTCAAAGTTTACCCAAGATTAAATGAATAAATTACTAGGAAGTCTCGAACTCGTTTGCAAGAATGTAGACTTATTGTCTAACCGACTTAACACGCATCTGTCAATTAACATTAACCAAACAGCTAGAAATTCTTGATTATAGTATTCATCTAATTTCCTCTTGTCATTTTTTTTTTTTCTTCAAAATATCTCAAACGTTAGACCAATGTGCCAATAAAAGAGTACTCATTTGGGTTATAAAAGTACTTCTATGAAAATATATAGCTATGATGCATTCATAAACTAATACCATGCTGGGTTGATTTAGGGTTGTGGCTGGAAAAACAAAACGGGAAATGGAAAACTCACCCGCGTTTATCGGGACGGAGCTCCAGCAGGCGTGGCCGTGTTTGAGGATGTAGTTTCGAAGCCTTAGGTCTTCTTCCGGTGACCACAATCCCTTTCTGTGCTTTGCCTTCGGCTTATCTGATGGCTTGCACCCCATGTTTCCCAAGAACAAACTTGCAGCTTGGAGTTAGGCTGCAGAGCAATGAATGAACAGCTGGCCTCAATTTTGCTCAGGTACTTAAAGCAAAGATTAGTTGAAGTCTGCTCTTTAAAACGAATTAACAAAGCATGAACCTTTTTAGTCATTTGTTCATATATTTCAAATAATAATTAAAAAAAGGGTATATTTTATGCTTGTTATTGTATGTTCATATTCCACCATGAGGTCACATGAAGTTTTTAGGGTTTTAAGAAGTCGTTAATTGATGTCTGAGGGTACAATTTGTAAACCTAAACCTATGCAATTAACTTTAGAAAAAATTAGTATCCGATCCCTAGTTATTAATGTTCATTATCTTATTAGTTTTCAAATTTTGATTGAAGTCCCTCGCATTAATGTGATAATAAATTTACATATTTTTAAAATAAAAATTAGTAATTGATTTAGGATTTTAATAATCACGCCTCTGTTGAACTCCTAATTAATTTTCAATTCAAACATTTCCCAAATAATAAAAAAAATTAGAATAAGTTTGTACCCATTAGTTTTTTTATAAAAAGATTCTCAATTTTTAATCTTAAATGTACCCATTCATATAATTTTCAATTTTATAAATCTTAAATGTACTTATTCTTAAATATACTAATTTGTTATATGCAAACTATACCATTTTTTCAATATAAAATGTACCCAATTTTTTAATATAAAATCCATTCAAATTTTTTTAATCCATTTTTAAACTTATATGGGTGCATTCTTTTTCGTTGATTTAAGAATGTATCTATGTCAAGTTTAATCGAAGAAATTTACTAATGTTATTAAGCCTAATATTTTTTTTCTTTCTTTTTTTTATCTGTGTTTTGAAGAATGTACCCATGTTTTGGTACCATAATTATTTTTTGTTAATTTTGATGAATGTACCCATATTTACACACACACACACACACACAATGACACATCCCGACCCGGGATGTCAGCTAGGACTCCGAATCAAGTTATGATGACCGACATCTAAAAGGTAACGAAGCCATAAAGTATAGTGAGGTGGAAAATGTGAATAAATTTAAACCTAAAAGTACCTAAATACTAGAGTGCGCTGTGAGCGGGAATGAATCTAATTCACACGTGATGACAGAGCATAAGTATAGTACAGTAAAATAAGGTGAGAAATTATACCATCGAATGTAACCGTCTACCTCAAGATTTGCCAAGAATCTTTGTCGATATGAAAGCTTAGCTACTAAAACTTGGAAGGGCAAAAAACAAGGGTGAGTGGGCCTGAAAATAAAGTTTTAATAAAAACCTTTGAAAACGTTATAACTCATCGCCATAAAACATATATAGTTTCCAAAATATATATACTACGTATAGTATGAAAATACTTACCGTAGCCTGCAAAACGTAAAGAAGGCATGACTTACCAAAATCACAAAATCTCCACAATAATATAAGTAAAATCAGGTGCTCAACAACCTATGCTAGCACATCAGTTGGAGTCGCCTAATGCGACCTATACGACTGAATCTATTGTTCATCAATTTATGCTAGCACACGAGTCGGAGTCGCCTAGTGCGACCTGTACGACATGACTGAATGTAATAATATACGCTCTAGTGCTACAATCACGTGAAGATTGGCGATAATCGCAGTCACCTACGAGTTGGAGTTGCCTAATGCGACCTGTATGACAGGACTGGCACCTACTTGGATCCAAGACGAGCGTGCGGTGCGAGAGGTGAACATACACGTGAAGGACTGACCCTGGCCCGGGGCGAGAGCACTAACATTGGGGTGCAGCAATGATGAGCACTACATGAATATAAGCATGCCATAATGATGCAATAATACTAACCAACATAATAAACTTACCTGAACTTACCTGCGCATCCCGTAAAATCATTTTGGCATTTCACAATTTCACAACAATGCAACATTTCTTAATCATGGCATGAAATGCATAAATCAATTCAAAAGCATTATTGGAAACTATAAAATATATATATACACACACTATAAAAAAGAAAAAATCACTCACCTGAGGTCCGCGCTACAACTCCCTAGCATGAATATCGAGGCATCACAAATGATCGGCGCCTAGAACAATCATCAAATCACGTCTTAGAATTCTTATCGATGAAACACGTACCTAAGAAAACACATCCCCAAGGACATTCTCAAATGATTTGAAACCCATTGACCAAAAGTCAATCGTCAGTCAAAGGTTGACAGTAGGGTCCACAACCCTACGTAACTAGATTCGGAAGATCCACATTTCAGATTTCCAATTCGTAACTTCCCAAGAGTTTCAATAAGCTTCTAGAACAACATCCTAAAGTTTTGGAACGATCCAACGGTCGGATCTCAGCCAATTGCTAAAATTAAATGGCAGCCAACGTTTTATTTTACGAGCTTACAAATCCAATTCGAGAAGATCTGTACATCGAATTCCCGATCCATAAGTTTCTAATATCCTCAAATATTACGTACTATAACGTATAAAATTTTGGTGACGATCCAAAGGTCGGATCGTCGATTCATATAATAACCAAGTGACGGCCCTTAACGGAAATATAACCAAATAACGGAATTTCGTCAATTGGATGTCTAATATGGAATCGAGGCATCTAAATTAGCCTAAGAAGGTCAAGTGGGCAAGCGGCCCACATGGCGGTCGGTCACCCCGACTTGCCGAAAAATTAAACTATTTCTAAAAATTCTTAAATTTCACAAAAATGAAGATCTCAATAAGTAGAACAAATTTTATACATGTGGCCAAGTCTAATTTGGCCGGGAAATACCTCAAATTGGCTCGCACCCGTCGGAAACCTTAGAAATGGGTGTGTTCGATTCGGCTTCTCCGGTGCTCCGCCGCCTCCAAGGTTGTTTAGGGTTTTTTTCTTATGCTCAAGGGAAGTTGGTTGATGGTGGGGATCGACGGTAACACTTTCAAGAATGGCGGATCGACGCCATGGAAGTCCCAGCGCCACTGATGCGGTTCTTCTAGAAATATGAACTAACCCTCGTCTATAATGGGTGGAAATGGAAGATGAAGCAACAACATGATGATTGGTGGTGGTGAGTCACCTCAATTTGTCGGAAATTGGCCAGAAAATGGACGGAAAACCCGTCGAAATGTGTGGCAAAGGCTAGGGTCAGGTCGGGGTATACGAGTCAAAGGAGAAAAGGTCCCGGTTTGGTGCTTCTCACCTCCCTCCTTTCTCTCCCTGATCTCTCCCCTCATTGGTTCCTCCGTTCTCTCCCTTCTTCCTGATTCGTCCCTTTCTTCTCTCTTTTTTCTCTTCTGATTGGGCAGAGCAGCGCCCCCCCCCCCCTTTTTTTTTTTTTTTTTTCCTTCATTCATTCCTCTGTCTAACATTCTCCTTCTCAACCACAAACATGTGGCATAGCAATTTAATAATATAAAATGGTACAATATAATTAAAATAGTAATTTCATCAAAAATACTTTCAGGTAATTTTAACCGTAACTCTGATTTCGATTCCGTTTGCGCCCACGCGTTCATATCGTTGAGTACTTCAAAAATACGCTAAAAGAATATTTTGTACGTCTCAGTATATGTTGGTCAACGAAAGTCAATACCTTCGACTCTAGGGCATTTTTGTCAATTCACTTATTTAAAATTAATAAAATTATAAAAGTAAGAATGGGTTGTCACACACAATATAATAGAGAGTATAATTTATATTTTATTATTTTTAATCTCACAAATTGTGCGTTATATTTAAAATCTCATTAATATAAACAAATACAAATTTCAATTTTTAATTTTTAATTTAAAACATATAGTAACTTACACTATTGCATTAATGTCAGAGACTTCGATTAAAAACTAAAAACAGATAATGTTCAGTCAAAGAATATTGATAGTTAAGGACTGCATCCAAAATATTTGTTAACTTTAAATACCTAATTCAAAGGTATTAATTAATCTCGTAGCTTTTTCTTTTAGAGGGATAACTTGCTGCCTAAAAACGACCCTTTAGTATGAAAGGATAGAGATTGATTCAAGTTGGTTTTGGTTTTGTCTGAAGTTGGTAAAACACTAACATTCTTTAGCTTTTCTCGATTGTACATTCCTTTTTTATAACAGATTAGAATACATATTCTCTCGTGTTTTACTCATTAAAACTAAGTCGATGGATTTGTGTAGGTCAATGTCCTTTTCTTGTGACCGTTGCATCATATGGCTTATGAGAGCTCTCTATGTTGAAGTTAAAAATACACAAGAAAACTTGACCAAAAAACAAAAAAAAAAAGACACAAGAAAACGACCAACTTGCTTGATGTCATAGAATACTCGAATAACGCTAATTAAAGCTATATATAAACAATGTCCACTTGATAGGTGCTTCATTTTTTCTATATTTTTATGTTAATTATCGATTTTATTACTGATTCTTAACTTCAGCTAAGATGTGCACTTAGAACGTTTTTGGTAATAATCGACTTTTCAGATGAGTTTTTCTGTAAGGCCAATTGGAGAAGGAATCTAAAAGGTTGAAGATCATTGTGAACAAATTTCATAATTTTCCCTGAAGCCAGTCATTCAAGTTTTGTAAATCAATCCTGCAAAAATTGCATCCCGTCAAAACTGCACAGCTGTGGGAGAATGAAAGTTTGAAGTCATTCCTGATTTTTCTAGTAACATGTCATATATTCATGGAAAGCTAAGAGATAAAGCTACAGTTTTCGTAGTTTTATAGAATTTTCCAAAAGCTAAATCGAGATCAAATCTGGGGTGCAAAGTGGATGGTGTTTTCACAAGTCAGAAATCATTCTTTTCTAGTTCATGCCATTAATTACTTAAGGACTTTATTTCATTTTAGGCTAATTTTATAAAATTTTTTTTAAAAAAAAAAGGATTTTTCTAATATAAATAGGGCGTCTTTTTCTACATATCATATATCATGATATCATAATACACCACCAACTTAAAATCATTGATATAAATGATAAAGTTTATGTCCTGAAGTTAA